ATTTTTGAAGAATAGTTAAAATTATATGAAAATGAACGGATATTTAAAATTGCATACAAGTAATTTTTAGCGCAACACAATAATATTTTTCTTTAAGTCGGTAGAGTATATCGCTCCTTAGACGTATTTTCTACAATAAAAACAATAACTAATTTTGTATAGTACAAAAACACTTTTTATAGCCTAATTACCTTGTAGGCCTAAGTAATTAGTACTAGATATCACTCTAATTTAATCCATTGTTGTTTAAGCGTTCAAAACGCGTAAAGATAATTGTGTGTTTGTGTAAACCGAGAGATTTAAAATGTAGAGAGATTTAAAATCATATTCATAACTTAATATTTCCGAATTAAACAACCAAACTTGATATCAAGGCAATTGAAAATCATAACATTTAAAAATGCTTCATTTGAATTAAAAATAAAGATGTACCAGTAGTTTGTGATAATTAGAATCCACTCAATATAAAGAAATTAAATATGGTGATAAAATATTTCTAGAATTATACAAGGTGTATGCAAACTCCCAGAACAGATATTGTTGATTTGTCTCTTAGGTGTAAAATCAGTGCAAAACATCGTCAATCTAAAATTCTGGTTTTATTTCCTGACTGACTGTCTGTTTGTATGTGATTTTTCAAATTTACCCGTCATATTTGAATCCTTTAAGCAAGCGATTGTCTACAAACATCAACAAGACCGTCGTGGTGGTCGGTGAATGAGCATTCATGAGTATCTTACGGCTCGAACTTAACAATGTTTGTAGTTACACTGGTTGTGTTCTTCACACAAATTAAAAATCCCTCAAATTTTGGTAAAAAATTATTTCGATAAACAACATTGAATGGATTATATCCATTGACTATTGGATGGTTAAAGGTAAAACATAAAATAAATTTGAGGCTGATAGAAAATAGACTTAAAATAACACACGAGGGTTAGGAATAATCTCTGCCCAAAGTATTACATTTATAATTTATACCAATTCAAAATAGCGGACTTTAGTTTTTTTTTATACCGTATATTTCTTCTGACTAATAATTTATAGGAAAAAAACCCTTATGCCACAGACTTATACTTATTCCAATATGGTCAGAATGTGATATTTATGCATTCATGATAAGCCTAATCATTAAATCCAAATTAAAAGTATACAATATTAACATATTCATCGAGGTGAATTAATCCTCTTTAAATACATGTACTGCCTTTGAAAATCGTTGAGTAATGAATGAATGTTACTATTTTTGTACATTATCTGATGGAATTGAAATGATTAAATTGTTAGGCCTAAACATGTGACTAACAGACTAACCTTGGGATAGATTGAGTCGACGGGTGGCATGGTAGCAGTGCGGTGAGATGGTGCCGACTATTTCTGCTGTGGTACCGTGCCAAGCCAACAGACAACTGATAACACACTACCACTACGTCACTCTCACTACACTTGTGTGACGTGTAAATTTGTCTGTGTTTGTGTGGGGTTGTATGTTGTATGTTGTGTGCACTGTTCAAGGACCCGCTGCACAATAATGACAATGGTTGCAAAAGACTTGGGCATTTTGGCAAATTGAGGAAATGACTCAGTGAATGCATCTGGGAAATCTCTAGTTCTTTGCTTTCAGAGTGTCAAATTGCTGTTTAACGTACGTTACAGTTCCGGAACCTCATTTTTTACAAATCGAGCACTGAGTAAAAGTACCTATGAAAAAATAATTTTCTTCCAGTTGGTATTGTAAATACAATACTTTCCTCATGAAGTGATTAAACATCATTGCTCTGAATCCTCTAAAGAATGTTAATAGGAAGATGACAAGGATGAGGTATGCTATTTAGTTCGAATTACAGAAAGTCACTAGACTACGACATTCCATTTTTTTTTTAGAGAAATATCCATTGAACATATTTTTCTATCATTGTCATAAAACCATCACATAATTTCATTAATAACACTTAAATCATTGGAAAGCTAGTAGGACATTTTTCGTGGTAGAGCACTATAGACTTTGGTCCCCAAGGATCCACATTCAGGTCCTTCCAATTACCAAAGGCTTTGATGTGATAATACTGTTACCGTTACCACATTTCCAAAACTGTTGAACATTTTCAAGATAACTTTGAAATATGAATATATTTTTTAAAGAAAGTTTCATGAAAGTTTTTAAAAGTAAAATATTAACGAATAAACACTATCAATTATCAATAATTGAGATGGGGACGCCCAAATTTGAGTGAAAAATGAGTGTAGAATGGAGTTTGATGATCTTTGTAGCTTTGTTACTGACTAAGATCAGCTGTTTAATTTGCCAGGATCATTCATTTAAAGCCCAATCATCAGGATCAGCTTCATCTTGATAAAATTGAAAGTGGCGAAGCTCTGATTTACAGTTGCTATCCAAAATCTCCAAGAAAACATCACTGATGTGTTCCATTGTATTAGCCTCAGCCTCCTTACTCATCTATCTTATGACTTAAACAATTACTTCTTTCTTCATAACCTTAATATGAAATGAAACTTTTATCTTGTGTTTGTAGAAGATGAGGAATTAATTAATTGTTGAACCAAATGTTAAATTGAGGTCTCAAAGCCATCTTAAGGGTAACTCACCCTGGGATTTGTGACAAGCATGCTAAAAAAAGAAAAACCCATTGAATTTGGCATATCCAGTATCTTATGATGTTTCTATATAGCGTTTACACCACTTTAATATATTGGAGTGTTGAGAAAATCTTCAAAGAAATCTATGAACCTGTGTAACACCAAGGCAAGGTTATTTAGGAAAGATAGTTGACTTTAGGAAATAAGAAGATAGGTAGATGATTCTAAGTAGTTCTTGGTGGGTGAATGTGGGAGGCAGCAGTGACAAAAGTTGGGTTTCAGGACTGCAATTACCTTTTCATCATCAGCTGTTCAGAGTTTGAATTACCGAATTACCTTACCATCAGCTCTTCAGTGTTGCAATTGGCTTACCATCAGCTGTTCAGGGCTGCAATTGCTTTATCATAAGATTTTCAGGGTTGCAAATACCTTAACAACAGCTGTTCAGGGCAGTATTACCTTCAGCAAAATACATAGCTCCAGTTTCAGCTATTAGCCCAGGCAAATTAGACATATGCTCCCCAAAAAATCATCTAAAGCTGGAAAGTGTTTTAATAACTTTTGGGGGTCCCAAATAAGAGTCCTGTGAGTTTGCGACGGATTCTGACGTCTGCTTAAGTTTTGGGAGTCGAAAAACTATGAAAATGTTGCACTTTTTTCAGTTTTTCGCTTATAACTCCTAAATAACGAATCCTACGGAAAATGTTGTTCAAAGGTCTCTTTTAGTGCATTAAATTCTGCGTCGATTGGTGTTCAATACGTCAAAATCGGCCGAGCTGTTTAGCCGCAATAGCTTTCTTAAGTTGGGTCATTTTCATCCACATGGCCAAAAAGTTGATTATTTGACCAGTTTTCGGCTTACAACTCCTAATCGACGCTTGCTACACAAAAATGCACCTGTAGTTAGTTTGGAAAACACAACATTCTGCGTAATATGTTTTTTTTACTAATCAATAATGGTAATTGATTGCTATCTACTTTGTATGGTCGCCATTTCATTGAAAAAAAAAATATTAAAGTTAAAGTTGGAAAATTTTACTAAAATTAATATTAATATTTTTTCAATGAAATGGCGACCATACAAAGTAGGTAGCAATTAATTGCCATTATTGATTAGTAAAAAAAAAAAAAACATATTACGCAGAATGTTGTGTTTTCCAAACTAACGACAGGTGCATTTTTGTATAGCAAGCGTCGATTAGGAGTTGTAAGCCGAAAACTGACCAAATAATCAACTTTTTGGCCATGTTGATAAAAATGACCCAACTTTAGAAAGCTATTGCGGCTAAACGGCTCGGCCGATTTTGATGTATTGAACACCAATCGACGCAGAATTTAATGCACTAAAAGAGACCTTTGAACAATATTTTCCGTAGGATTCGTTATTTAGGAGTTATAAGCAAAAAACTGAATAAAGTGCAAAATTTTCATAGTTTTTCGTCTCCCAAAACTTAAGCAGACGTCAGAATCCGTCGCAAACTCACAGGACTCTTATTTGGGACCCCCAAAAGGTATTAAAACACTTTCCAGCTTTAGAAGATTTTTTGGGGAGCACTCCCTATATTTGATCTAATTTGCCTGGACTATATTGATAGTTTTAAATTTCACTAACCTTTGTGCATTGTCTCTACCTTTGATTATTGGTAAAACTAGACTTTCTTTACCCATGTTATAGTTATGGCACCAGTTTTTGGATGAAACAAACACACAAAAAAAGTTGAATTGAGCCCCCTACAGATTGTGCTGATGTAAATTACTAATTTCTGACCAGTATGCAGGCATTTTAACCAAGTCAAGCTGAAAGGATGACTTACTGTGAGCTATAATATCATTTTTACTGCGTCAACTGTTTCAGTAACAAAAAATAATGTAGATAATAACATTTTGCTATCTGCAAGTGGCTCATTCAACTGTATTCTTTTTTGATAAAAAATTGACATCAGCTGGTGCATATAGATAGGCTGTTTAATTTAGTATTCGAAAGCATTGATTATTGCAAAAGTCAATGTACCTAGTCAAAAGTCAATACCTAGTTTCTGCATAACAATATCTAACAATTTTCAATTTTGATTTGGGGTAGCCTAGTATTTGATTTTGTGTGTTTCTACGCCAGTGGTATTTTTTTAAGTTTTGAAAGGTAACAGTCCAAACCCTGGTCTTGTTACTATCTGTTGACCTGTTTGTTGGATAGCACCATTAATTCATAGCCCATGGCAAATGGCATCTAGGTATGGAAACGATTTCGCTTGGATTCGAACCAGCGACCTTCAGATTTAAAGGTGACCACTATAACCACTCGGCTAGACAAACCCAGACAATCATGATGAGTACTATTCATCTAATAATACTCAATACAATAATGGTGATGAATACAATGGCAAGGGTTTAATAAACAAACTATGTTTAGTGATGCAGCTAAAGCTTTATTTAAAGATAAATCATAATCAAACCTATTTATAAAGTATCTGCACCGGCCCTAAACAACAGAATTGTCAATCAATGTGTATTTTAAAAAGTGAAACCTTTTAAAGACTGAATCTATAAAACAAAAAAAATAATACAATACATGCTGAACTTATTAGACTTTATTTATCAGACTTGGTTTGTTCAGATCTGAAATCAAATAACATGTAACCTACATTTGAATAATAGCCAATTTTTAACACTTGATTAGTGATTGAAAATGTAAGGGCCAAAATTTACTTTATTATTTAAAAATTAATGAATGTTGATTAAATAGTGACAAAGTAAATTATAAAACACTTACAAATGTACACTGATTTTCTATCAACCATGGAGTGTGCTAATTTAATGCTTATTAAGTTTACACTATATTTAGTAATGCTTCATTACTACCATTCTGTTTTTAATTTAGAAATTGTTATGGTTTAACATAAAAAGAGTACTAAAATTTACACAAACTATTTTAGATCTGAACCAAAAACAAGCTTTAACAGATTGAACAAACCATATTGACTTTGTAAACATAGTGTCTTTGAGAAAAAGAACAAAAGTAATAAAAAACATTAAATTTTTAAAATAAAATATTTTTTAATAAGTTCCTTGTTGTAAAACTTAATGACAAGTACTGTATTGGATTTTACAACAATTTTTATGGTTAAATTAATAAACAATATAGTCTAAAACAATTGCAAAGGTCTTCAGATTTTAACTCATTTAAAAAGCCAATTTACTACAAGGATTTTAACACACACACAAATACTATGTTATTTAAAATTAATGAGGTTAAAACAAAACTTATTTCTGTATTACAATGAGACTACCAATGGTACTTGAGCTGCCAGCATACAAGATATAAACATGCCTTTCTGTTATAATCTTACAAAATCACTCATACTGTCTCTTACAAAATCAATTCATAGGAACAATAACACTTTCTAATAGAACACCTTCAACCGTCATAATCAAACAAATATTATAAACTAACAATCAATCTGGTGTAATTTGGAAGCAGATCATATAAAATAAAACTACCAAATAAATTAAACTTAAATTTAGCAATGATCAGGGTAAGGTTTTGGGTAGCTAGGCTGGCTTTAAAAAAGTTGCAATTTTTGACTGGCCACTTCATTATAATAAAATATTGAAGTAGTCAAATAGAACAACACTTTATGACATAACAAAAATAAGTAATTTTTAACAATTAGGCTGCCGAACGATATTTATCTCTTAGCTGAAGATTAACAAAACAAGTAAATATAAAAGAGAAATGATAAACAACAAATTTTAAAGAAACATAAACATAAGAAACATAAAATAAAACTATACATATATATTACAAAAATGAAAATGATGGCAAGAATAATGTACCATGTACTATATAAGTAATAATAAAAGGAAAATCTGTAAACTAAAACATATTAACATGATAAGTATCTGTTTGTCAACAAGAAGTTAGAATAATGAGTATTATTACTATTATATACTAAAACATATAATTTATCTTTGTACAATATCTTTAACTCTGATAAATTTGGTTTAATAAAACAAACAGTAAAATTAATATTTTAATAATCTGCAGTTTACTTTTTAAGTCACCGTCCGGAAGTTGTTGAACTTTAATTTTTAATTTAACACGTATAAAATATTTTTAAACGTTTCATAAATATTTGCTGTTACCTTAACAAAATAAATAATTTAATATCCACATACAAATAACTTAACTTTGCCATAACAAATTATATAAACTCTTTTATCAATATAAAGTTACATTACTACACTAAATATTGCATTGTCTTCTACACTAATTTAAAAATGCTGCATTACCTGTACTTAGATAAATATTCTCTCGTAACTGTGTTATTTACATTTACACTACTAAAATAAATAAAATACAATAAATTTAATGGCACTTTAAAGGTAATTTATTTGTGAACATGAATTTTTAACTTCACTTCAATTATAGGAAGTAGCCCGGCAGATCAACTGTAAAACTTGAAAATATCTAATAACACTAATCCAGAACCTGATGAAAATTCCACTCTACAGCTTTCAACTGTATTCTTCATTACGTAAACGTATAAACAAGTAGCGTTTTAGTTGAGTGTATTACAGGCTGGTCTCTGTCTGGTTGAGTGTATCGAGTGATGTTGTGAGTGTTCCTGCGCGCACTTCGTCCCTTAGGTTGAGCAACACTCGACGCACCTCCCTGTTCTGAGGCGGCAACAACAAGATGGCCTCCTGGACGTCACACAGCGCATCCTCGTACAGTCTGGAACCAAAGTCTTGGTTAATCCTTTGAGCTTCATGTGCGACACAATAGTGACATAATGAAACAACACTAACGTCAAATAACTATCTATAAGAGTAAGAGTGTAACTTAGCAATTCTGCAACCTAGGAGTATGTTTAAAGCTGCTAAGCTTAGGCTTTTGATTGACTGGGACGGGTGGCGTCGTCCTGTAATCCAGCTACTAGGAGGGCACGAATTGTGGATATTTATAGGCATGCACTGTGGATGCGATACTCCCCAGTGTGGATTAACGTCCGCACGGGTGAGTACTACGACTATCCGCAGTACTAGCCTGATAATTAGACCAATTCGTAATTACAGTCCAACCTCAGTATAACGAATCTGAAGGGACCGAACTGAATATTCGTTATATCAAGGATTTCGTTAAAACGAGGTTCGTTATATAGAGGTTAGGTTTGCAGGAATTTCGCTAAGTCAAGGTTCAGAACCAGCGTCGGTCAATATAGGTCGGGATTTGACCTCATTAAAATACAATTAAAGTAGCATAGGCTACAATACTATACAGTACAGTGTTTACATTGTACAGTAGAACCTAAACTATCCGGCATAATAAAGGCGAGGGATCTTGAATAAATCATGACAATGTCATTGACCTTGGTACAGGTTAAAAGATGTAAGTTTAAAATCACAGCTTGTTCTGGTTCTAACCTTCCTAAAACCTAGCCAAACACTGTATTGCGTAGTCATAAACCATGTAAAGAACAAAACAAAACAGTAGAAAGTTTTGTAAGCTACTGCTCGCGATAGGCCGGTAGGCTACTTACAGTACAGAACTGATTTATTAAACAGAGGAATGTCAATAATAATCATTAACTATAGCATTGGTGTTGCTAGTTGAAACAAATCGTATTGAAAACAATAAATTATTAGATAAGTCATTATAAAAGTGTATAATCATAGCCACCTTAAGGATAATAAAAACACTCGTAAAAGGAATGTTAAAATAACGATGTTGCTATTCTTTCTCTTTGGTTTTGTTTTTATATTCTTTCTTAGGTTTCTCTTTATCCAAAAATTGTACAATTCACCATAGTTATCCCATATCGCCCAATCACAGCTTACTAAACATTACGTCGTCATCAGTCCTCAGTGAATGAAATCAGTTCTCAGTTGCAACATAGCGCGCGCAGCGACAGCAGACAAAGATGTAAAACGGAGCAGACGAATGTTAGCGCAAGCGATGACGTGACCTTTCCATTTAATTTGATAAAGAAACAGATTTTTCCAAAACAATAATTGGGTGGGGGATTTGTTATATCGAGGGAAAGACGTAGACAATTCGTTATGCAGAGGTTAAATTCGCAATGTAGAGGTTCTGACAATGACAAATTCGTTATATTGAGGTGTCTTATTTTAGCCGAAATCACGAAAAATTCGTTAAATCAAGGTCGTTGTTATGGTTTGTTCGTTATGTAGAGGTAAAATATACATTGTGTCTTATGGAGAGTTCTAGGGGATTAAAAAAAATTCGTTATATCAAGGAATTCGTTATATCGAGGTTCGTTGTATCAAGGTTAGACTGTACCAAGGCAAAAATGTGGTTCGGATTCCACTATAAACTGTAGGTCCCTTAGTTGCCATTAGCTGTATGGGCTATTAATTAACAGCTGTGTCTAAGGAATGTCGGCCTTAGTCACTAACAAGACTACAAGATCACGCCACTCATCCTACACTCATCTCCATTCAAACTTGGCTTAAAATACCTCCTTTGTATGGTCGCCATTTCATAGAACAGTATTAACAGTATTGACTAGTGTAGTTGGGCAATAGACCATTAGGTGTGATCACTGGTCAAGCAGGTTGTTTTTAATACCTTTAATTGAAATGGTGACCATACAAATGTAGGTATTTTAACCCGAGCATGAATGGAGATGAGTGTAGGATGAGTGGCAAGGAGACAGAAATGAAGATTAAGGGTTCAAGACCATAACCCATCTCAGTCAGGTCTAGAGTACTATTGTGCATGTTCATCTGTACCTGTCTAAAAGTTGTAGTAAAAGACATGGTTTTGGTAAAAGGTGTAAATTTTCAAGATGTGACATGTGTGCACAGTTATTCTATCATTTGTCAAGAGTTTGATGTGAAATTTTCTGTATTATAAATGCATTGACATAAAAAATCGAAACATTAAAAATTAGTATTTTATGACAATTTCTTACAATTAACCTACAAATTTAGATCTTATGGTAACATTTTTCTAGGAAATCGTTGCCACGTGAGCTAATTTAAAATAAAATGAGATATATTGCAGATGAATGATCCATTGTTTTACCCAGAATTATACTGTTTCCCACTCCTGCTGTAGACTACATAACGTAAACCTCTCAATTAACAAATGTTAAGGTTGCTGTAATTCATCACAGAGTCTTAAATAACAAATCTGGTATGTTGTTCTTACTTGAGCAAAGTATTCAAGAAATACCATAAAACACGGGTAACACATAGATCAAAAGGGATGACAAGTTCAAAGTGCTTACCTTAGATCAATTCTTGCCTTCGCACGTGCGTAGTAAGCCTCATAAGAATCTGGTTTTAGTTTCAAAACACTGGTTGCTAAATCAACTGCCTCCACTGCCTCCTGTAAAGTAAAGTATATTAATTAGATAGGTAACATTATTTCACTTTCGGAAAGTAATAAAAAATAAATTCTTTGCATGGTTTACATGTACTCATAACTTTGTAATGGAAGTTACATGTAAATAAGAAGGAATTTGACATGTTTTTGTTAAGCATATAATGTTGGTACGCAATCATGTTTTACAATTAAGTTTCACATAAAGAATATTTTCAAATCACCAAATTTGATCATCCATGAACTATAAAAATTACAATGTTCAATACTAATATCAATATTACAATCTTACAACTCACATTAAGTTTGCGCTTGCAGCGAGAGTTGTTTAGGAGGAAGTTGATGCGCAGCTGGCTGAAAGTTGTGTCCAAGGTTTCTGGTGGAGGGAACTTGTTGAGAGCGTAGCTGTAGCGATGTGCCGCCTCTTTGAGCCTGCCTTTGCGGTACAACACATTCCCATCCTCTAGTAGTTTGTTCAGCAGTACCAACCTTCATACCATAAAATTTAATATTAATTTATTGACAAAGGTTACAAATTCAGAGATAAGAGCTAGTTAAGAATAAATCATATCAAACTTGGACATTGTATGAGTGAGGTAACAAAACCAATTTGTTAGTTGATTAAGGAAGCTTAATTCTAGTTGTTGAACAAGGTGGCTAAACCAAACAAAATGCTATGACACGATAAAATGACAAAAAAATACCTTGTAGACTCTTCTAATATGTAGACATAGGAAAAGTGTAGTAACCTTAAAAAAATTGTTTGGACGAATACAAAATGTTCACTTACATGATATCCATCTTGTTGTTAGCCATTGTCCAGGTAGTTGGGCCCAGTTTGGCTCCTCGACGCAGCAAACACTGCACGACAGGGACATTACGACATGCTATAGCACGGTCTAGAGGTCTCATGCCACTCATGTCCACATGTTCCAACATGGCCCCTCTCTCCAGCAGCATCTACAAAGATAGACGAACTTCAGTTAATGTTAAGTCAAAGTATATCTATAAAACTGATGAGGAGACGACATGTGTCTTAAACCGGGGTAATTTTATAACAGCTTAATGGACAGCTGGAATGAGGTTTTTTACTATAACGAGATAATAACTTTTATCAGGGTGAGAACAACAGCCTTGTCACTATTATCAGTTCAGTAACCAGCTTTCCAACTACATATACCTATCAAATATTTTGTATGGCACAAGTAAGCCTTATTTTAAGTTAAAATACGAGTTAAGAATGAGAGTACACCTCAACAGATAAAATAACTTAAAAAATGTATTGGGATGGCTTTTAAATTGTATCCCTTGGCCTATTTTATTCAAATACTTCAGGCAAAAATTCTGTGAATTGGCTGAACATGGTCGGATATTCCATGAAGTGGGTTTATCTAAAGATTGAAAATAAGAGTTCTGCTGTAACAAGTACTATAACAAACGGCAGATGGTAAAGTGTAAAGACAATATAGAAAGCATATATTTAGTTTGACTAGTGACCTGTACTAGAGTGGGGTTGCCTTGTGCTGCGGCCAAGTCCAGAGGTATACGACCAGTCTTGTCTGCCTTGTTGACCTCAGCTCCTCTGTCCAGCAGCACTTGCGCAGCTTGGCCTCGGCCTCGTAGACAAGAGTGGCCGAGCGCTGTCAAACCTTCTGCATCCTCCCGCGACAGGTCCGCTCCCTGCAACCACCACAGAGGTTAAAGTTAAAATATCAATAGCTTGATCATGGGTAAATGTAAATGAAAATATACTTTGAAAAAAAAAATAATTGTTAGTATCTTAAACTGGTTTTAGTACCTTATCCAAAAGAAGTTCCAACAGTCCTACGTGGTTCTCCGCAGCAGCCATCATGAGAGGAGTGCGACCCTGAGTGTCCATCTGGTCTAGAGGTGCGTGATGCTGCAACAGTCTCTCCGCTACTGCCCAGTGTCCCTCTCTCACAGCCAATAGCAGAGCTGGCATGCCCTACAATAAAATATAATATTACAATACGTCTCCATTGTCAATACAATACCACTACAATACAACAAATATATGTGTGTCAAACAAAGACCATCTTTTATTGCAGTTTACTTCACTGAAATATTCTTACTTTATAGGAAACTCTTTCATGTCAAGAAATGATTAAGGAGAGTAGAAACAGTGATGTAAATTTGTTAATGACAAGATTAAAAAGAACATTTTTGGGGGAATTTAGATATTTGTTATACACTAAATTACTACCCAGGACCCAATTTATTGTTGGAGTGAAATGAATAAAATTTGCAGGGAGGGCTAAATAAACAGATGCTATACAACCTTTAAACTTCTTTTTGTAGTAATTTCAGTCCAATGGTTTGAACAACAAAATACTTTCCTTATAACTAGTACACCTTACAGTACTTGACTATTTCCTACCTTCTGGTTGGGTACGGAGACAGATGCGCCCCGGTTGAGGAGTGTCGCGCAGACGTTGTGGCAGCCATTGCTGGCAGCTACTGTAAGAGCTGTCTCCCCAGTGAGAGAGTCCTGACTGTCTGCTACAACCTCTGACATGTCCAGCAGATACTCCACTATCTGCAACAATCCAGTGTCCTGTTGACAGATCTTCAATAAACAATCTGTTCATGTGCATCATCATCAGGCCCCACTTTCTATATGGGCTAGCTGGGCTATATAGCCCAAAGCGCCAAATTTCCAAAACTTCTGTATTTTAACCTCCAAATAGATTTAAAAGTTTTTTCTACTATCCTATCTACTTCCATATTCCCCCGCAGAGAAGGGCGCCTAGCTGTTAGCAGACCAGAGCGCTATCAATCTAATCCCCAGGCCTGATAATCATTGGCGGAAATTGCTTGTTTTGTTTTGTCACAGCTATAAGCTGATGAGATGAATAAGTTTTCTTGAATATACTTAGTACTGAATTTTAATAATTATAAAATAAAATTGTTTTATTTGAGAGGTGATGTTTGTACTGGAAAGTCTTTTCTATAGGTCGGCCGGTTAGAAAACGACCTGCGCGAAATTTTTAGCGCATGTAGGGGAGGTAAGGTTGGGGGTCGGGTGGCAGCGGAGTGGGGGAAGAGCCATAGTCTGTCTCACTCCCACAGCTCGGTATCTCTCTCTTGCACCAATGCTACGAGGAGGACGCTATCTAACCGGCCGACCTATACCATCTAACTTCTAAACACCAAATGAACACCTAACTGTAGACTAAAATAAACGTACATAAGATTTCAACAGAAAAATAAATAGGCTACACTTCGTCACAGGAGGGTTGGAAACTGGGTTGGTTCAGTACGGTACATACACAAGACTCAAATTTGTATCTTAGTGACGTTTACATTATGAACATTTATATTTCAAAATGTTATATTGCTATGGGTTTCAATAAGCATGGTATATTCTATAATTTTATTAACAATTATTGAATATAACAGTAGGCCTATCTTGCAGTTTAACAATAAAAATAGCAGTAAAAAGAGCAGCAGGTTAAGCAAAAGCAAGGATCATATCGGATACGCTAAACAAAACCGTAGATCAATCCACAATGAAGATAAAAATATTTTTTTTTAATTTCTTCTACTAGAGTGAACCACTTAAATTTCAGCTAAAAATGAGCACTTTGTAATCATCCTACCTCGTTGTGTCCCTGAGCGGCTGCTGCCACTAGAGCCTGTTGTGCAGCCTCCCTCAGCTGTACTTCATCAGCCCCCGGCCCCACCACCCAGTCACATGCCAGCAGGTGTGCCACTACGTCCAGGTGACCATTGCGAGCTGCATGCACCAGCGCACATCTGCCAACACGATAAGTCAAGTAAAGTGTATGCAAAGAAGTGTCCAATATCTTCCTATGTCTAGAATAAGTGTGCCTCAGACAAAAAGGAAATTAACGGACGACCACGGGTTCCTGGCTATGAAGCGACCCCTCCCCATATTTCATTTAGAGCCTTGGCGGGGATTAGGAACAGTTTGACAACAGAAGCTTACATTGGAGGATCTTATAATAACATCGTCCAGCGAATTGTGATACTTGGATGAGCAACCTTGTATTCATTGTGGCACTCCTAGAAGCAGGTTATCATTGTTTTGTTGTAGTTTGATAAGATCTCATGATACCTACATTTTATATAACCAAACATATTATTGGTTTAAAATCAGATAATTAATTGTTTTATTTAGCAGAACTCTAGTGTGTGTACCTGCCGGCGGTGTCACTGCGGCCAAGGGATGCCCCAGCACTGACCAGCTGTCTGACCACCTCGATGTGTCCGCGACCGGCGGCCAGGCCCAGTGGTGTACAACCTTGACTGTTGGGGTGATCCACGGAGGCACCAAACTCCAGAAGTAGAGCCACCATCTCCACAGCACCCTCGTGGGAAAACAAGCACAATACTGGCGCCTGTCCTAGGAACTCTGTGATGTGGTCTGCATTGGCTCCAGACAGAAGCAACAGGCGGGAAACCTACAACATTGAGTTTTGGAGGCCATAAAGCATTTAAGTACAACACAAGCATAAGATAATAGAAAACATTGAATCTGTATTCGGAGAATATTTTAATTTTAAGATGCTAGGATCTTAGCCTTGAGGATGTTGAGATGTGGTTTGCAGTCATTGGTTTCTTGTATGCAATTCGCAGTTGCTTTTCATTCTTTCTCAACATTTGTCACACGTTGGGGTGGTCATCACTGCCAAGTATGCAGTGACATACATCTTGGTAAGGAGTGATAATGTCCTTGTGAGTAAGTATGGTTCTCACTTGAAGTTCTATACTGTTCAATACTATACTGTTGAATGAAATGGTGACCATACAAAGTAGGTATTTTAAGCCAAGTATGAACGGAGATGAGTGTAGGATGAGTGGCGCGATCTTGTAGTCTTGTTAGTGACTAAGGCCGACATATTCCTTAATTAATAGCCCATACAGCGGACCTACAGTTTATAGTGGAATCCGAACCAAATCTAGTTATTGTGACTATGGTTGTAAGCAATAATCAGCCCCTTTTACACCTAGACCCTAGACATATCTTTAATTTACAGCTCTAACTCAGAAATAAACACCATGAACCTTGATGAAATAACTATGGCACTGGCCATATTAGCCCAGGCAAATTAGACATATGCTCCCCAAAAAATCGTCTAAAGCTGGAAAGTGTTTTAATACCTTTTGGGGGTCCCAAATAAGACTCCTGTGAGTTTGCGACGGATTCTGACGTCTGCTTAAGTTTTGGGAGTCGAAAAACTATGAAAATTTTGCACTTTTTTCAGTTTTTCGCTTATAACTCCTAAATAACGAATCCTAAGGAAAATGTTGTTCAAAGGTGTCTTTTAGCGCATTAGATTACGCGTCGATTGATGTTAATTATGTCAAAATCGGCCGAGCCGTTTAGCCGCTGTAGCTTTTCAAAGTTGGGATATTTTCATCAACATGGCCAATAGGTTGATTATTTGACCAGTTTTCGGCTTACAACTCCTAAACGACGAATGCTATACAAAAATGCACCTGTAGTTAGTGTGGAAAACACAAAATTCGGCGTAGAATTATCATTATGAATTACTAGATAGTGGTTTATTCCATGGTTATCATCCAGAGGTTTATCCAACAATGTGTTAAGGTAATTTTAAATCTAATATTGTTATCTGGGATTACAAAAATTCTAGGATTCCTAAGCTCCCATTTATACGATCCCACCTCTGGACACTCCAAAATGGTGTTAAGCGATTCTAATATACAGTATAATAAGATATTACAACGAGAAATATTTTATTAAATATAGCAAAAAAGATATTTTTTTAGCTTAATAAATGAAAGATGATAATGCGACAAATGTACATAGTTTTACTATGTATTTAGCCTATTAAAAAAACTATTGGGAGTTTTCGTAGATTTTACTATATAACGTTTCTACTTCTCATCATTGGAATCTTAAGAATAAGGATTCATTCTTTGCTCTTATTAGTCTTGGCACAAATGATGACATTCGGTACCATCTTTTTCGTCAGATATCGAATTGAGATAATCTAGCCCCTTGCGAGTCATCTTTCAGACAGTAGTGCATTATATCCCTGCATTTCAAAAGGAGCAAGATAATGTAAACCTTTTTTAACATGTACACGATAGTCGAAATAGGTAGACGGAGTTGAGAAGTTTTTGTCGAACCGGTGGATTAACCGTAGTGATGGGAGTTAACCCACTGGCGTTGATTTTCCATACCTATTTCTCTGAATTAAGTACTTTTAAATGAGCTCTAAAGGATTGGTGGATGAGCAGCCCCTTTTGTTAGAATCAAAGTCAAAATTAGTTGAAAGTGTCTTCTAGAAGAGACCAAGCCTCACTTGATTTGGATATTTTCTGCTCCCAACCATGTATAGGCCCAACCTGCTTCTGCAACTTCGCCAAGTGTTGTAACCCGTCAGAACACAGTGAGATCTACATTGATTGGAGTAAACAGCATGAGTAGTTTTAGGCTACATGATTAGTTGAATTTTCGACTCTTCTACATCACGCTTTCTTCATCAAACTGCGCTAGTGGGTCGGACCTATTTGTAATCCAAAGTATGATTCAAATTGAGGCTTGGATTTAATGAGGAATATCACGTGCCGACTGAGGGGGGCAGATTCTTCTTTAATCTCATTTCATTTCATTTCATTTTTATTAAACGGCAAACACCATTTTACAAGAGGGTTTAACAAGATTACATCATACATTGTGCATTAAACATACATACCAACGACAGAGCCATTTGAAAATGAGAGAAAAACAGTTACCAGCTTAAACACAAAATCAATAAGACAATCGATAGAAAAATCAACAATAAATAACAATAAAAATAAATAACAATAAAAATAAATAACAATATAATACATAACAATATAAATAAATAACAATCCCGTTATATTACAAATTATTATATTACAAGATATTAATATTCGAGAAGATAATCAATCAACAATAGAAATACACAAATAATTTAAAGGAATATATCATTAAAAACTATAGAAAACAACAACAAGGAGTAACAACAATTGATAAAGATTTAAAAAAATATAACAGGGATTAAAATATTAAGAATGAAAACGATCAGTGATAAATCTCAGACAAAAAGAAAAACTTGAATTGACAGAATAATATTGCTTGGCAGTTGGCACTTCCTCTCACTGATTGTGTGGCCCTTTAGAGGCACCACCAAAAACACACTCACTTCACTGCACATGTGGCACTTGAAGTGTGGCCCTCTAGAGGCACCACCAAAAGCACAAAGACTAAAGCTGGATCTGGTCAGCAGCCCACTTAAACACTACTCTCCTAAAGAGTGGCAAGGAAGGCCCGAAGAACTCAAGTTGAGCTTCAAGTTGAGCAAGTTGAATCTTTGCTGTTGCCATCCCAGCTCGCAATTAAGGTCACCACTTCATTTTATTCTGCACGGTTTATGGTCATTATAGGCTTGCCTATTCACGATTTTCTTGCAAGCTGTGCCTTTTCATTATGCTTCATACATATCTCGCGTTGATGCTATCATATGGGATAACTGCTGAGCTGATTGACATGAGCGAACTATTTTCAGTAAATGGGTCGTAACACTGGAACCATTTGACAAATTTTTTTTGGTCCCACCGTATCCGTGGAGTTTATATTGTCAACTTGCTGATAATATGTTGAAGAGGTGATCCCACAATATCCCTTAATTTGATGGGTAGCATTCATTGCGATGGGCCTGCCAGCGAACCATCAGGCTAGATCCCCATCATTGATTCCCCTATCACGGAAAAGCTCTCCACAGTAAGATGTTGCTCTCATGAGCACTTACTTGTTCATAGGCCATGCTGCAGGATCCATGACTTCACACTAGTGGATAGATTCACTGCCATATCCCCTATGTTTTTGGTAATTAGGCTGGTTATTTGCCAGATTTCAATGGTAAGATTTTAAACTTCGGAAACTTGACAAGCATCTGATCTAGTGTTAACAATCAATAGCGGTTAAATGGTGAAGTCAATCTTAATGAATTGGAAAACTTTCTACGCAGACGTTTATGCTCTTCAAACTAACTACAGGTACATTTTTTCTATAGCATGCGTTAGAAGATATAAGCCAAAAACTAAAAGATGAATACAGAGATAGATCGTATATAATGGGTGGTTGGGATGATCCTAGAATTTTCAGAACATCAGACAACAATATTAGACTTAAAATTACTTAGGGGGTCTTACTCTCATCACACCTTATTAGATAAACCTCTGGATGACCATCATGGAATAAACCACTATCTAATAATTCATAATCCATTTAAGGACAGGATCTATGTTGTAACCAATTTTAGTAAAATTTCCCATCTTTAACTTTAATAAATTTTTCAATGAAATGGCAACCATACAAGGTAGGTAACAATCAATTGATTGATAATTAGTAAAAAGCATTATACGCAGAATTGTGTGTTGTCCAAACTAACTGCAGGTGTATTTTTGTATAGCATTCGTCGTTTAGGAGTTGTAAGCAGAAAACTGGTCAAATAATCAACCTTTTGGCCATGTTGATAAAAATATCCCAACTTTGAAAAGCTACAGCGGCTAAACGGCTCGGCCGATTTTAACATATTTAACATCAATCGACGCGTAATCTAATGCACTAAAAGACACCTTTGAACAACATTTTCCTTAGGATTCGTTATTTAGGAGTTATAAGCGAAAAACTGAAAAAAGTGCAAAATTTTCATAGTTTTTCGACTCCCAAAACTTAAGCAGACGTCAGAATCCGTCGCAAACTCACAGGAGTCTTATTTGGGACCCCCAAGAGGTATTAAAACCCTTTCCAGCTTTAGACGATTTTTTGGGGAGCACACCCTATATTTGATCTAATTTGCCTGGACTATATAGTTCCAAGGCCATATTAAAAGTCAAAATCTGTGTAGCAATTTGTAAAATCATTTCATCAGATCATTACTATCACTATGCTATGCTTTGTGTTTTAACTTGAATATGAAGCTTTGTGAAGTTTTGTTACTGACTTACCCCTTTGATACCGGTTCCTTTGACCAGAGCCATTTATAAGGAGCCTAATGATCAAGTACAGCTCAACCAGTTTCAAATGTAAAAAGCTACCAAGTTTACCTAGGATTGAACCAACTGACTACTTCGAAAGTCTTATCCATTCAGCTAACCATCTAAAGGGTGTAAATTATGATCTACTAAATGTGTTTTGTAAAGATTTAATAAGAAAACAGGTATACTAAGCTACAAACCTTGACATTGGGGCTGTAGATGTTCCTGAGTGTACAAAGAGCCTCTGACACATCAGCAGACACGGAAGATATCCAGTGAGCCTGCAGGTCTCTGGAGGAGTTCTTGTGCAAGGTCATGTTCTTGTAAAGGTGCGCCTTGAGTATGTGGTGACCCAGCTCCTGGGTGCCCTCTGCGTCTAGAGGCACCTGCAGGCGAGACAGGCGCAACGCAATGCCAGCGTGGCCGGACCTGTGGAACATTGTCAAATGTGTTCTCATATAACGTATGCTAAGAAATATAGCCCTACAAGATGAATCACTGTAAAGAGAGTGTGCATAATCATAGACAAATAGAATAAATATAGACTGTCAACGGAAGGTTTCGGCGCCCACCGCTAGGTTTGCCGTATGCGACCAGCAGACGCTGCAGCGGTGTGCGCCGTAACTACACGACAAACCTAGCAGTGTACGCCAAAACTTCTGCTAACCGCAGCACAGCTGACGGTTTATATTTATTCTATTTGTCTATGGCATAATACAGTGACTATTCACAGTAACTAATTGTTTTTATTTATGATTACTAGATTTATTTTTACAAAAAGTTGCTTTTATTAGATGATACACAATCTGTATTTAACTTTATTTGTATCAATACTTTGTTTGATTTAAAAAAAATCTGGGCTCTAAGTTATAGATTCTTTTTTTCATATGTAGAAAAGAAATTACCTACAATAAGACTTAAGCAGGTTAAAATATTGGTTGAGGTAAATAATCAGTTTATAAAGACAAGCAGATACCTTAAATCACAGATAAACTTGTTGCTCTCCACGTCGTCTCTACGGATCAGCCATTCTCTGAAGGAAGGATGGAAGAACATGTATGTATTGTCAAGCCTCTTCACAAGGAGTCCTGACAGGAGCTAAAACATCACATTGGGATGGATATAGAATAGAGATTAATATAGTTGACAGGTTTCACCATTCAGACACATTTACTGTAATTTAATTGTGTGAATAGGTTTGACATTGATTCTGAATACAAATCTGAGAATATCACACATTTGTCAAGCTAATCTTTTGAAAAAGTATCTTTAGGGATAAAATATTTAAAATTTATTTAGCCCTTCAATACTACACAGTTATTTATGAAATTCGTCACTTTTTAAAGACGTTATTTCAGCCTAAAGACTTGAAGGGCGACTTAATGTTCATGAAATTTACATAGTAAATCAAATGATCACCCATAGAAAGTTAAACATGTTTCAATTTTCCCCACAACATTCGATATTGAACTAGCTTTTAACTGCATTTACCTTGAAACGTTGCAGGAATTCATCCCACGAGAGGAACTCATTTGTGCATAGAGCATTGACGGAATAGTAAATTTCTAGAAGAGTTAGAGGATACAGGGCAGCCAGACACACACTCAGGATTGAAGAAACCTGAAAGCAATAAATATATAAATTTGTTGTAATAAGTTTGATCACTTAAGCTATATTACAGTAGTTGATCACAAAAATCATGTTTCAAGACGATTCAGAGTGTTCAACATCTTACCAACTAGTGTACTTTAGGACTACTTTAAATACCACACAGATTGATTCCAAATTTGTAACTTATTTGACGGTTTAACTATTTGGTCAGCTTACCTTTTCAAATGATTTGACTGTAGGGAACCGTAGGTTGAAGTGTAGTAGATATATCTGCGCTAGTGACACTGGCAGTACCTTGTAGCTGGCGGACTTGGCTACTAACTGGCCTCTCTCTATGAGATCTAGCGACAGTTTGGCAAACAGGAACGACCCCTGAGCGAGCCCAGCTAGATGCTGACAGAGACGGAACTGTCCTGCACTGCCCGGGACTACGTTGCTCTGGATACTCGGGCTGTTGCTCACTCGGAAGTTGATGTAATCCAGCAAATCTTTCTGTACGTTCTCACAGTTGCTGCTCGCTATATCCATACTGGCAACAACACACACTTGGTTAAGAGGAATAATTTTTCTCATCAAGTTGGTTGGTTAAAAAAACAACATTGTCACAACACACACAACAACATTGTTGACAAGTTGGTTGGTTGAATATCAAAACATTTAATATTTAATTTAGATAAGAAATATACATAGGTACATAGGTTTATATAGATTGGTTTAAGATGGATGGAAAAATACAAAATACTCATTACAAATATTTTTGCTTGGATTGAAATTTGTTTTGTGCGATCTAGCTAAACTCTATATACTTTTTAACTCTACTCTGTTTTGATAAAAAAATAACTCCAGTTGACATAATTTGAAATGTATTGTTAAAAATGACAATTTCAGTATTAAAGGATGAGTGACACACTGATCACTCTAAGATCAGATCACAGTTAATTTTATATTTTCACTCCTACAATTAGTGTTTTCTTCAAAAGGAACCAGTAGAATATATTCTTGAAACAAGCAGCCTACTCTATCGTCAAAAAAAAAAAAAAAAAACTTCGAGATCAATGTAATCTTAACTGTGCTGCTTACCTAATTCTATGGAATGGTAGAGGAGGCATAACTTCATCAAGATGTGTGCGGACAGTGACAATAAACTTGATCCATGGAGGGAGGGAGGGGGCGTGCCTAGAGAGGAACCCTGCGATGGTGTCACCAGTGTCAGGTCGGTGATATTCAGCCTCACACAGCGCATCGATGAGTATGAGCACGCGGGGACAGACCAGCTTCCCCACACGGCGCAGACTACACAGCGGCTCTACGATACCTCGCTGCCACGCCAAGTCTGGAGATGCTATGCACTCCTTCAGGGAGAGTGATACCTGGAGGTGGGAAAATAAGCAAGATTGTTAATCTGCTGATCAACCTATTGACATTTTTTGTTAAATGTCTTGCTCTGTGTTATAGAAGATAAAAATAGGGAAATATGAAGACAGATTATGATTAGCCCAATCTATTGGCATGTTCCCAGTGAATTAAAAGATTAATTTTACTAGGAGTTACCACTAGTGATGATTTTAGTTGTTTGAACTGGAATGTTTACTTTTATGTGATACAGTTGAATTCTACTTTACAGAAACCAACATAAACTAAATGTTTGGAAAGAAATGGCAAAACTATTGTGGCTGACGTATGACTCATGACGGGCCAAGACCACCAGTTATCAACACGATGGGTTTGTTTTGGAAACCTGACAGACATTAATCATCCGACTTCAAATTGTGGGTGTAAAAAATGTAATATACAGTACAACAGTTCCCTTCAAATTTAACTTAAAAATACTGTAAATAATGCTCCAGAAACTAAATTATGATAAACAGTCTTAACTTCATATAAAAAAGATTATGGTTACCAGCTCAGTCTATTTGATTGCTTGCATACTCATAAGGTTAATTGAACACAGTAACATACAATATCAATTGTTTACGATGGGGACGCCACTACTTGAACCTAAACATGAGTGAAAGATGAGTGTAGGATGAGTGGCGCGATCTTGTAGTCTTGTTAGTGACTAAGGCCGACATGTTCCTTAGACACAACTATTAATTAATAGCCCATACAGCTAATGGCAAATAAGGGTCCTACAGTTTATAGTGGAATCCGAACCAAATATTTCCTTGTAATTAACAAATTGGTCTAATTATCAGAATAGTACTGCGGATGATAATCGTATTCGAAAGTAGTCACTAGTTCACCACAACAAAGGGATAAAGTTACTAATGATTGGTTTACATGTTTGTACCTGCAAGTGAGGTTCACTCTGCAGATACTCCTTGTAGGCAGCCAACTGTGGAGCCTGGCAGAGCTGAGCAGCTAGAGAGTGTATCAGGTCTGGCACTAAACATGTTGAGTTGTTGTCAGCCTGTAACAAAATCATACTTGAGGTTAGTTTTGTTCAAGGAAAGGCTCCAGGCCAGGATTTTGAACTGTGGAATAAAGAGGATAGCAGCTAGCTTACCAAAGAAGAAGTAAGAAGTACAGTTGGCTATGAATCAAGATAGATACAAAGTAAGTATCTTAAGTAACGCAGCAATGTTCCCAAGCCTAATGGAATTTACAGAGCCTTACTACCTTACTTACTGTACAGTCTTACTTATAAGCAAATTTGAATTGCTCAATCTTTACTGGTAAATATGTATTGAATATAAACACATACAATTATTTAAAATGAACTATGATATCTGCGGTAGGAATATTTATGCAAGAATGACTTTTAGACCATTAAAATTCAATGTTAATATTGTTACCTGACAAAAGTGGTATGCGACTACATGTGATGCGAGGTGTTTTATCCTTTCGGAGACTAGATTGATCTGGCAGTAGATACTCTGGGGCGGAGTGGGAGACGTGGCCGGCCTGTCCTTGCCATTGTACATGTGGACATCTAAAACAAACTCGTATTAGTTACTTTAGTTGGGGGGAAAATAAATAGCTAAATAATAATTATGTTTTACAGGCTACATTTAATTCAACTAGCTTTATGCTTATTCCCTCAGAATTCTTGCAACTAGAAAGTAAAATGATAATTAACATGCCGTAACTTACATGTCTGGATGCAGCTCTACTACTACCGGAATTGATGTATATTCTACTACAATTATGTTTTCTGTCCAAGATGTTTTTATATGACAATGCAGTATCTGGACAGTTTTAATAGAACTGCAACAACTAGTAGAGCTCCTGTGAAGCAATATCTTAAAATTAATATAATTTAACATGTTGTAAATTATGTTTTTTTAACCCTATAGTATGAATTGTCATAACCAGGTTTTTAGATCAGAGTCCAGTACAACACTCTTTCAGATTTTCATTTCAAGATACTCTTTGGTTTACCGGTGATGTATCAGCAAGTCAATCCCCTACTAATATCACAGGGTCAGTACCTTGTTTGTAGGTTGGCTCCCTGCGGCGGCCAAAACAGCTGTAGTCGACCAGTTGCAGTAGGAGAGCCGTCTTGCCAGTACCAGGCAGGCCAGTGACCAACGCCCCGGGACCCGCGGCTGATACTACCTCCTCCAGCGCCCTCACCGTCCAGTGTCTCCCCACAAACAGAGGGTCTGGCTCCTGCAGCGGAACCTCAAAAAACAGCGGCTTTAGAGTCAGTTGCTGCGTACGATACTGTGCGAACCTCACTGGAAACACAAGAGGAAAGAGAAATTATAAACGTGGTTTAGAGTAAAACAATTTAATTTGATTATATCTTTAACTTTCCTATCCATTCAATTGTATCCTTGGCAGGATAAAATAAACTACTATCATTATTACAATAATTTGTTGAACTTTTCAAACAACTTTTTCATTAGACATTTAAAAGTAGGTAGAGTGGTATATCATAAATCTATACACTGTACAGGTTTATAATATCAGTGAAATTAAAGAATTAATAACATTCTATAAGCTAATCTTTTAAGAAGTTATGAGAATATATTTACATGTACTGAAAAACTAATAAAGTCCAAATTAAATACACAATAGAAATATATAATACCTTTGGGGTCAATGGGACCTTTGACAGTACCGGAGCGAGCTGACCGCCTGATAGACTGGCGACGGTTGCGGAATGTTGACAGGTCTTCTACACGGCCTTGCTGCGTAGCTGAGCATGCAAGTGTTAGAGTTAATCACACAACACTCAGTTTATAACACACACTACACAACATTACATTAGCATACTGTCAAACACAACAGGTAGTCAGTGTAGTTGATGACTTATGATATTCGGGATAATCAATCAAATAATTTGAAAGAGATTATTTTTACTTTTTAGTCATGTAACTTACCTAGCTGGTCATAAGACTTGTGAGAGTAATAGCAGTCTATGAAACTAAATATTTTCTATACAAAATAAAACCTTAGAAAAGGTTAATTTTTTACTTTCCCGATCCAGTTTTTACTTTCTACCCCTACACTTAGTGTGGAACATGGAAAAAGTATTGTTACTGTCAACAACTTTGGGTTTAAGTTTTCAGTGAAAATATCAGTTTTGGGCCCCCTGAACCCAAATTGTTCCTATAAAATTACAAATTAATCGTATTTATATAAAAAATCTGTTCCAAACGATTTTGATTCAAATTTAGTATTATATTGTATGAGTAACTGAAAAAATATCACAAAACATGCAATGCTGTAAAAATCATAGTTCAAAAGTAATTGCAATTTTCGTGAATGTCTTTAAAAAAAAGTACTGTAGTAGGGTGATCAATTTAACTAGAAAATAGGAGGAAGTATGAATAATGCTGATACCGTTTATTTTTCATCCTTCTACCTTTCTAAGAACAGTTTAAGTTAATCGTGGTTTAGTGTACAATAAAACAAAAAATGAGTAGAAACACAACACAATTCGGTATCAGGGAACTTTAAGATTCAGGTAATGGGGGTTTTTAATAGGGTACAAGATAAGGCAGTATTATTTCACACAGTTTTCAAAACTAAAAAGTACACAACTATAAAAGTAAGTTTAAAAAAATAGCTTAATAGTAAAACAACCAAACACTTGTAGGTAATGATATGACTCACTGGTGACGGAGTGTCTGCGACTGAGGGGACTAGATGAACAGTTGCTGTGGCCAGACATGGACATGAGGCTGCCGACACTGTCAGACGACGGCTCCTTCAGTGTACGGTGAGCGTCTGCTTCTGACGACCCTACATCACACATTCCGCTTAGTTGTGCCAAAAACTTATTTAGTTTTCAGTTTTTATCATTAAAAATTCTTTTTTGGTGACCATTTTATTAGAGAATGGTAAAAAATGTGGTCACTTTAAGGACTTGAATGCATTGTCCATGTAATCGTAGATATCTTAAAAAACGGTAGTGATATAAAAGTTTACTTTCAAAAAATTTAAGTTTTTTTACGTTTATAGCACAGTTTCAACATTTATTAAAAATATTCTTGAGAATCCCAAAACATGATAGCATGTTGAAACTGCTTTAAATGAATATAATTATAGCAGTAGAGAAAACGAGTTTTCTCTTTGTAAATCCCAACTATTCTGTGACCAACATAAATAGAGTTATATTTAATTACTTTAATGTTAATAAATGCCAAGTACCAGTGAGGGTAGAAACAGGGCTGGTGTTGGTAGAGGCCAGAGTACCGGCATCCAGGCTGGCCAATGATGAGATAGAGTCGTGGCTGCGCGCTCCGCGGTTGCTGCTCCTGGAGCGTCGTTGTTGTCTAGCGTTGTCTCCCAGCAACAATCCCAGCCGCATGTACAGATCACTTTGTGAACTCTTCTTGGCCACTCCACACACCGGCTTGATGTTGCCTCCCTCATCATCTGTTTACAGGAGAATCAGAATATAGATTTGATGAACAAATATCATTCCATCAGAATAAGCGACTAAACATCAAGCATTAAAATTTTTACCTTTGTAAGTCATGTACACGTAACGTAAAAGGTTTTGCAAGTATGAAGGCTTTGTGTAAACGAGAACTACACATTATAGAAAAAATATTTCATGAATTTGAAGTGTAGAGTGTGGGATGTTTTTCATCAAGTACCACCATAAATCACAAACCAGTGAAGGAAAATTTATTAGATTTTTTTATTGGACATTCTTTAGCCTAAATAAGGGAAATTTTGTTAAACGTTTTACTACAAAAGTTGCAAATAACAAAATGTAAGCTTGTTTGGTTGAATCATAAAACGTCAACGTTTTGACCCTTAAAACAAATCTTGATGATAGAAACTCGCTCGAATAAAGAAACTCAATTATATACACAGTTTTAATACATGCCTGAGACTATTTACATGCAAATACAAAGACTAAACAAAACAAAGCATGATAAAACAGTGTTTGTGCTGGGATATACAGTAAAAAGGATCTTGTTTAAATTAATAGTTTAAACACACTTAAAAACATGCCAATGGAGATTTGTGTTGAGTGTAACAGAAGAAATAAATAGGTAGATTGTGATAAAAATATTATACAACTTATGATGAATGTGCTTTGTGAATGCATCAAATTCATTTTGCATAGCATAAACTGAAACACAAGCCAAATATCTAAGGTTGTCACACACACGCACACACGGGCGTATTGCCTGAGAGCTGGTTGAGGCCTGCCATCGCTGTCATTCCTCCAGTAAACCACAAAGATTTTATTTTTCCGAGGACTACGGAAGACCATCGCCGATTGTCCTGCATCGCTGGGGATGTTGACGAGAACATCACTGCCACGGTAACATCATATTTACCTTCATCTCATAAATATCCATTACCTCATTCTAGTGGTTGTAAAATTGAACTTGTCCACAGCAACTTTAGAGTTTTATTGCCTTACTTGCATGTCAGATAAAAAAATTGTGAGATCATTTCATTAGTAAATCATTTAATTATTGTACTGAATGAACATTAAACTCTACGTATATTATTTACTTATGTAAATAAAATGCTTGACATTTTTACACCAACAAAAGCAGACCAATGCAAAAAATAAATAAAATTCAATCTTACACTATCTATTGAATCAAACTCTCTGATTATCTACTCCGTTTGGTTTTTAAGTAATATTGTAAGCAGTTTTGTTTTGTTTCCACATCATTTGCTATATTTTGGAAGAGAACTTTTTTTTAATTACTCATATCTGTTGCCGACATTTCGTATTGGTACTTATTCAGAGCCTACTCAAAATTAAAATGAAATTTTTACAGGTATTTGTCAAAATTATTTGTTGGTATTAACACATTGTCACTAACACATAAATACCTCAATTTGTTCAGATAGCACAGTATTCATTATTGCAGAACTTAAGATTCACAATGTTTGCTCACCAGAGAGTGCGTTATCAGCTGGAGCTCGGGAGCTGCCCCTGAGGCCCCAGGAACTCCTGAGGGACTTGGGGCTTAAGAAGAACTTCTTTCGGTTCTGTGGAGGAGTTGGACAGCCTGAAATCAGAACAAGAAAAATTATATTGTGTGCAACATTTTCTATATTGGATAGATGGATTAAAAGCTTTTTTTTTAAAGTTGGCAGGTGTTTAAAATATTGGATGAGATTTGGTTGAATGCTATGAACAATATTACACAGAGTGAATCAATTGTAATGAAAGCACATAATAGTGAAATTGGAAAACTCTGCAACTGAAGTACTGTATTGAGATTAGTTATAAAATTAGTTAAAATAAGTTTAGTAAACTGATTTAAAAAAATTTTAGTTCAGAAATAAATTTCTCCTGTTTATCTTGTAATAGTCCTTGAGTACTTTTTGAAATAGAAATGAATTTTCTCAGATTTGATTTAACTGTAGAGTGGAGACTTACTCTGAGTCATGACGTTGCTGGAAGGTCTAGGCAGTCTGCTTGGAGGGGAGGCCCAGTCTTGTGAGTTTTCATTTCTTGTCTAAAAATAAAAAAATGTCATATTATTATGTAACTATTACAAAAGCACCGATCGAACACGGACAATTGGGAAGGTTCCAATGCGGAGGTCGCAAATAATTAAAGTGGTAATATTAATTTGTATTAGAACTTTTTGTAAAGTACAAACAAAATATACAACAAATGTAGGCATAATACTCTTTAATTTAAACAAATATTTTTATATCTTTCTGTTTATTTTATTACACACCTTAAGGTAGCCTCATTTGGCTCATTTTAACACATAAATTAAAAAATAGCCGGAGGGAGCAAATTTTGCAAGGCAAACTGGACTTACTATCGCACTAATTGCAACAAATTTCAGTTCGTAACAACCAGAGTTTTATAACTACAAAATTTATAATTTATTTAAGATAATAGCTAAATAATTCACAGTAATTTCGATTGACAGCGGGTAATAACCTCACAATAGCTGTGGCTGTAAAAGTATCCTGAACAATATTGAAGGTAATCACGGATCACTACTTCTGTATTCTGGTTAGTAGGTCACCTTGAACATTTCCCCTTTTCATTACCTATTCTTTCTTTTAGTGGGCTTTGTTTCTCGGCTATGCTTTTCATACAAGCATTGTAAAGTCAGCACCTTTGAAACCCATTAAATTCAGAATATTTTAATAATTAACAGACCATTTCATGGCAAATGGTGAGTTCAAGGGATTCTAAAGTTGTACATGTATTTCTCTTATTAAAAGTAAGAGGTGTAGTTGAAATAAGTACAGCTAGTTAGTGAAGTTTACCTGCATGTAGGAGGTGAAGTGACCGTTGGTCTTGACTTGAGGCCTCGACGACCCGTACAAAGCAGTGTTCGATCCTCGTAAACCTGAGGCTTTCTTGGCAGGTAAAGCTGTAACACAATGTAGAACTTATCAGGTGGATGTAATAATAGTAGCCAATAATAATTCATTATTTCATATAAATAAAGAAAATATTCATAGAAGAATATTGGTTTTGTAATATCATACTTTCTTCACCTTTTTTTATAAATTCTTCTTATCCTCCTCTCCGATTTATCCCTGCTTAATCCAACCAGTTTACTGCTCCATTCGCTATGCTTCACCTATGTTAGTGTTTTATTTACAAAAGACCAGTATGTTTATTCCAAAAAAGTGTTTCCTCTTACAAACAATAAATCCAGTACGGGTAATCTTCCGTGTTCTTCTCAGACCAATGCTTTACAGTAGAGACCAATCTGGAGCACTTTAATACTTTTCAATGAAATGGCGACCATACAAAGTAGGTATTTTAAGCTAACTCATTAAAATGGACCAACTGGGGATCCATAAGTCATCTGCATTAATAAAGGTCGGATGAAATAAAACAAACTTAGGATTATTTTTGTCCTAAGACGCTAGGCACGAGCCCGGAATCGTTTTTCATATTACTTCATGCTAGACCTAGGGGTTGCGGCATTATCACTTGGATAAAATCCATTGGTGACTTTGGTGGCGGGATTTGAACCCGGGACCTCAGGGACTGAAATCCCGCGCTCTACCACTAGACCAGCTCGCTCCCCAATCAGGGCTATTAGGGGTACCCCTGATTGAAATGATAATCTTTTACAGGAAAAGGTTTAATAGATTAGTCTGAGTTTAAAGGATAGTAAACTACCAAGGTACCCTAAGCTGAAGAACAAAACTGCACAATTTATGATTTAATTGTATTATTTTTTTTAAACCACTGGTACTGCAAAAGAGATAAGCAAAGTCTCTAACAACGTCAAGATTAATGTGTGATAACTAAACTTTTGTTTCTTCTTCCATTCAAGAGACAAATCTTTTTTGATAAGTAGCAGCTTGTACACTGATACTGTAGTTGAACATTACTACCTTTGACTATTGGTAGAAGAATGAACCCCTTTCCCATGCTTTTGCCACTTTTCAAATATAAATATACATACTGTAGTTTGATTGAGCAATTGTAAGAGAACACTGATGTAAACTACTAATTTCTCTAGATGACGCTAACTTTCAAACCAAGCAAAAATTAAAAGGGCCACTCATTTTATAGCTTGTATAGTACAATTTGTAATTTACTATCATGTTAGCAAAAGCTACAGTAATAGGCTAGGCATATTAGGAATATAAGTAGCAGTTAGCGGAAAGTTTAGGTACAGTCCTAATCATCACTTTAATTTATGTTTTTTGGGTCGCTGAACACGAATATGAGGTTTGCTGACAGATATTTTGCCCGGAACATTGGTTATTTTGTAAAAAACCTTAAAATTTGGGCACTTTTTTTGGTTTTTCGGGCAAATCTTGGTAAGTATGGGTTTTTGAGAAAATCCTACTTTGTAAGATTAAAGATGACAAAATTTACTACAAGTTTCCTATATAATGTTTGTTTCTACGACAAACCGTTTCACCACTAGAGCACACTAAAAAAGGCCAGAAGTACAAAAAATTAAAACCATTGCTAAATTCTGCCGTTTTACATTAGGTTTCCATGGAAAAAAACCCATGTTACGATAATTTTAACTATTTATTCCTGATTACAAACTGAAACACACTTAAAAATACCCCCGCCACAGCAAACCTGCAGACTACGCGAATTTCCATTTCCCTGATTGGATTTACACTAAAATGTCTCCTTAGAAATATCACATTTATTCCCTATTTAAATAAAAGTTTAACGAGTACTTAGGTTTGCTGCAATAGGGAGGGTAAAAAGGTGTTTTTTTTTGTAAAATGTAATAATTTGGTATGAAATGAATACATTTTCCAAATTTGATCAAAATATGTTCATAAACAAGCAAACTACAAAAGTTTACTTAGTCTACATAAGAATAACATGAGCATTTTAAATTTACAGATTTTTGGAATTTTCTCCGTAACCATTAGGCGCATAACAACGCTTTAATATACTAAATTATTTGTTTTTTAAGCTCTACAAAACGGTATGGCTAAATTTTAAGTTTATAGGGTCAAAAATAGGAAAACCCAATTTTTACCCCATAAAACCCCCCATAAATCCCTGTTCCCATAGTCCGATCATACTGGACAAAACCAAAAATGAAAATAACCCCTAACCGTTTTACAAAGGTTTTACATTGGGTTTCCATGGAAACAACCCATGTTACGATAATTAGAACTATTTATTCATGATAATGAACTGAAACACACTTGATAAATCTATGCCAAGATGCATGACTGACAGCTGGAACATTTCCCGTTCCCACAAAACCCCCATTTATTTTCTCAGCACAGGGATGTTGCTGGCCACAGGGTTGACTGCTATAGTGATTGAGAAAAAAGGATGAAATACATTAAAAGAGTTGTAGATAACTTTTAACTTTGGTAACGTCAAATTCAGACGAGTAGACCGTGTCCAGCCCCTTGCCATAGTGAATAACGCGATGAAAGTAGAGAATTCTAACCCGTAAACCCCAACACATTGTTTCAACGTATCAGCATCGCTAAGAATTCTGATGAAGAACTAAAATACTTCTTGTCCTACGAACTGGGTCTATACTCTTTCTCGTTGTTTGATAATAACGGTTTGCACAAATAACCAAATCAAATCTTTAAAGGCCTAAAGCCCCTGTCCCCATTGAAAACAAGCACTTCCATGGTCAAGTGCAGTATGTTATTGATGGTGGGTTCCTACTACACAAAAGTTATGGCCAGAGCATCAACCTTTCAACCATAAAAAACCAAGCATCAACCAAGAAAAACTTAATCGACAACTTATTCACCACTCCTTGCCTTGCTATAAAGAAGAAAACTGTAGGCAGCTAAGAATATTCAAAGATAAACTTGGTCCTCAGTTTCTTACCCTTGAGGAAACCTTAGAAGCAAATGAGGATGTGGAAGATGTTTTTTCTCTCATCTTGGGCCCATAAAAAAAATGGATGGAATGCCAACCTTCGACCCGAAGAGAGTGAATTACATAATCCTACCAATCAACCTATTCATGAGGTTATTAACATTATAAAAAGAAAGATTGTCTCCATTCTCCACAATTTAATCCTAAAAGACGGGTATTTCTTTTAGGTTGAGTTTTGTGGTCAGATGGCACACTAGTTAGTTTATTAGTGAATTTCCCCTATAGGGAATAAGCTATTACCGTATTACTCATGGTAAGATCTGGACCCGGGACCGATTTACTTTTTCGTTTTGAGGTCCCTAGAGACCAAAAACACCATCCATTCAAATTCATATATGTGTCCGTTAGGGCGAGAACTCGACGAAAATCATCAGATTTTGATGAAAATTGGGACAAACGTGTAAACCTACGTCTATTCGAACGAGTTCGCGAACCAGCATGACCGGACTATGGGAACAGGGATTTATGGGGTTTTATGGGGTAAAATTTGGTTTTTCCAATTGTTTATAAACTTAAAATTTAGCGATTTATTTCCATACCATTTTGTAGAGCTTAAAAAAACAAATAAATTAGTATATTAAAGCGTTGTTATGCGCCTAATGGTTACGGAGAAAATTCCAAAAATCTGTAAATTTGAAATGCCCATGTTATTCTTATCAAATTTGAAGAATGCATTCATTTCATACCAAATTATTACATTTTACAAAAAACACCTTTTTACCCTCCCTGTTGCAGCAAACCTAAGGTCTCGTTAATCTTTTATTTAAATAGGGAATAAATGTCATATTTCTAAGGAGACATTTTAGTGTAAATCCAATCAGGGAAATGGAAATTCGCTTAGTCTGCAGGTTTGCTGTGGCGGGGTATTTTTAAGTGTGTTTCAGTTTGTTATCGTGAATAAATAGTTAAAATTATCGTAACATGGGTTGTTTCCATGGAAACCTAATGTAAAACGGCAGCATTTAGCAATGTTTTTAATTTTTTGTACTTCTGGCCTTTTTTAGTTTGCTCTAGTGGCGAAACGGTTCGTCGTAGAAACAAACATTATATAGGAAACTTGTAGTAAACTTTGTCATCTTTAATCTTACAAAGTAGGATTTTCTCAAAAACCCATACTTACCGAGATTTGCCCGAAAAACCAAAAACAGTGCCCAAATTTTAAGGTTTTTCACAAAATAACCAATGTTCCGGGCAAAATATCTGTCAGCAAACCTCATATTCGTGTTCAGCGACCCAAAAAACATAAAGTAAAGTGATGATTAGGACTGTACCTAAACTTTCTGCTAACTTTCCTAATATGCCTAGACTATAAGAGAGATAATCAAATTTAGACAGAAACACACCTGTGAATAGCATAGCTACAAACATTCAGCTATGTTCCTTTTAAATAAGAGATAGCTACTACAGCTGGTCCATGTAGATGAGATGTCTAATGGAACTAGCTTGTATACTGATACTGTAGCAGAACTTTACTACTACTACACACTACTTTGCTACTACTGATTATAGAGGACAAGTGAGCTCACCATCAGGATCCTCGGCAGTGCAGAGAGGACAAGCCTCGTTGCGGAACATGCAGGAGTAGCAGCGCTCATGACCACAGGTGTCTATCAGCTTCCTCTTCTTGCCTTTGTCAAACGGCATGTTGCAGCTAGGACAGAGATCACTCTCTGTGTCGGACTCTAGGAGCTTGCGGATAGCAGCTAAATCTGCAACAACAAACATTCCTCATTAGTCAAGCCAAAAATCTGCATTGCTACTTAATAAAATACGGGTTTTCTGAGTTTTCTCTGTAACACCCCTTTTTCAGGTGTCCCACTAAACAGATTTTCACAATTGAGGTGTCGCTTTAAAGCTTATTATCCAGTGCATCTGCGAATGGTAATATAAAAGGTGATTTCCTTATGGGCTTTGGCCCCCTCGTGTTTACATTGTTTCTAGAGTCACTTCCAAAGAGTCAGTTAGCTGAGCAACTTGATTTCTAAAGGTTTAAATGTGAATTGTATATTAACAGCTGGCCCTTCAGTTGAACTGTCAACAAGATGCAGATAGTAAACAAGAGATAAAACAGTTTTTCAAAATATTTTATTTTTGGTGATTATTGTAACCTGATTGATGCAAATTAATCACTTTTCATGTTATAGATCTAAAGTCGACAAATTTAATTTATTGAAAATTAGTTACTTTAGTTGAGTGGTAATTTGTTTAAATGGTATTGCATTATTCCTCTTGCCTCAGAAACAAGTGTTGAACCCTATTAAAATGCACAATTTCCATATGGGTTCCTTCAAATCATAAACACAGTTATGTCAATTATACGAAAAATCATATCCTTCCTGTGTCATTAGTTACGGTTCATCTAAATACGATTCTTTAGAAGTCAAACTTTACACACTTAAAAGAATGGTTGATACATAACGAACCAAAAGAATTGTTGAAATGCTGTATCAGCGTATTAAAGCATGGTACCTGTTGAAGACATACGCAATCTATAATAAGACAGTTTATGTGTAGCGGATAATTAGTCAATTAGTGTAATACTTGTACCCGGGCTGTTAACCCAGTTCCCCAGCTGCTGCTAGGTGTCGGTAGTGACACACACAGTTACACAACCACAGAGACCTTTGCCGAAGATTGGCTCGCAAGTCGCAAGCTATCATCTCGTGCGATTACTAGCTGTTAAGTCATCACCGAAGATTGGACACCGTCGCTTTTCGCCAATTTCTGTAGCGGTCGCGAAGCAAACTATCTATTGTCCGAGTCAGATTAGGTTACAAAACTAGTCGTTTGTTGTCGCAAACTGTTATTATAAGGTCTTAAAACAAATGAAATGCGTGCGAGGTGCATCACAAAAATGTACATTGTAATAACACAAAGAAATACTTCATCGCTGAATTATTCTTTGAGATGGATTTTTCAAGTTTAACTATTTATATACAGTTCATGTAATCCACGTCTGCCAATAACAGGCTCTTTTTAAGTCCCACCTTCACATCCTAGAATGCTAGATTCTAGCCCGGAACTGTTTTACACATTACTTCAGGCTCGTCCTAGAGGGTAGAGGATTTATACACTTAGAAAATAACTGGTAATTGGCGGGATTTGAATCCGGGACCTCAGGCTCCAAATCCCCAAGCTCTGCCACTAGCCTATACCAATAGTGGTTTGTATTCATTGCCTATACCAGCTCGCCTCCAATAACACAGTTATTTAACAATATCGACATTGATTTTGTACAATAGGTAGGAAAACGTAAATAACAGAACCTTCAATGGCAACAACTGCTCGATAAAACACACCTACTTTCGATTTCTCTTGAAATTACTGTTTAATGGATGTTTTAGCAAAACAATCTTATAAATCCAACAAATTACAGAGTGTCAAAAGAATTGATTTTAGGTTCAATTGCATCTTAAAACATTGTCTCACTGTGCTTTGGATAGTGAAAAAGTCGGCACTTACAATAGACTTTTCTATCTCAATTTCAATCAGATTGGCGATAAGAATGTCAGTGACACTTGACACGTGCCACATCCTGCCATGTGTCATGTGTCACACGCCACAGTCCGAGTGTAGGCAGAGATGTAAACGTCAATATGTCATAAACGGTAACCGGAAGGCGCGGGTAGGCGCGGTGACATCAGCTGCACAGGTGCGGCACCTAGCTGCGCCTGCTGCTGATCATTAAATGCAGCTCCTCAACATGGCAACATACATATAGTAGATCAATCCCTAGTTAATGTATACAAATGTGTCCCTATGTTATCATTGCGGTGGGTCACGGGCTGATGCTGATAGTGATTAGGCCTATGTTGATTGTTGAAGTAAAGTTTGCGTAAAGAGTAGGGTCTGTTCGTTTCTCTGACTGAACATTGCTGAAAGAAAGTTAAGCTAGGACCTGGAGTTAGTTAGCGGGTTCAATGCAGGTTAAGGTTTACGATAGTCTTGAGTGTTCATTCAATTATTGTAGTTACGGATTAAACAATTTATCACTAGTTTATCAATGGAACTTTTTGTGCTTGATGTATCTTCAAACCTACAGATCAACCTACGATCAAACCTGTTAACCTACCTATCATGACTGCATCGTGGAATTGTCTGACGTGTTTTTCAGCAATCAATATTCTTTGAAAACTATGATTCACCCAATTTTAACAATATACACTACAATTCAACATCGAGTTAAACTGTAGTTTGTCCCAAAATGAATTATTGTAATGCATCCGAATTATTGTAATGCACATTTTAATCAACAAGCCTGTCTATCATCTCTCGGACAGTCTAATTTGGCCGTGGTAGCAGACCATCAAGATTCTGAAGGTATCAACACAAGTAAAGCAAGTTGTGTATCATTGTAAACAGTTCTGCACGTGAGTGTACTCTCTCGCCGTTCTCTTGTCTCTCACAGATTTTCTAATTATTTCCTCATGACTTGTAGCTGGTGGCTAATAAAGATGATGGAAAGTTTGAATTTACCTACATTCACTTTCTCTAATCTACGAAGAAATAATTTATCAAAGCAATTACTACAAATGAATTAGACAATATTAGAGACAGTATACATCACCTTATTTGTAAAATTACGTATACAAAATGAGAAAAATTACACTACGTAAAAAGTTAAGTATTATGTGCTTCTTAATATGTATTGCTATAAATAATGGTAGGTATAATATTTATCTTCCACTGCAGGTTTAGTGTGAACAATATTATCTTCAATCCATTTTTCCCGTCACGACAACCTTTCTTGAACTACTTAGTGTACCCGTGTCATTAAGTATCAACTGAACACATTCTTATAGTTATTTGGTATTCTTCAATAATAAATAATAAGCAGAGATTATCGTGAACATGATAAAAATGGAGAACTGCAAAAATGCTCATCATAAAATTTAAACTCGAATTATTTGGCAATCGAATCTACCTATTTCATACTAATTGACAGCGTTAGCATTAAACAACACTCATCGAATAATGCAATTTTAGATAATCGTTTTTTAAATGCATTACGTATAGGTCTGTCAGAATCGCCTGTTTAATTTATTTTACCTTATATTTATAACTAACGATTTCGGAGGAAACGCGATGGACGCTGAGCAGCAATGCATTATTCATGTAGCCTACCATTAACTGGCCCGCTTGGCTTTTAATGAGACGTGCCCTTTATCATAATTGCTTGTTGCTACTCAATGCATTTGAGATTACGGCTTTTAGTACAATTTTAAAACCTCAAGATTAATTACAATCAATTAAGATCAATTGACTTATCCTGAGTAGAAGAACGTTGCACTTGTTACAAAATCTCTTCTTAGTTCAATGAGCAATTGGAGGTTACTTCAACAAATTTACTATATTCAATTAAAAGAAAAATGAAGAAAAATGACAAAGTGTAATAATTGAAGTACTACCCAATAAAGAACTAATATTTAAATGTTATCAGGCAAACGATTTTTAAAGTAAGTAATTACAATGGAGAAACTAATAGTGAGTGTTCAAATGTGTTCAGGTTTCTTGTCTAGTCGTATAGGTACCAGAATGGCCCAGGTTAATTAACTCTTTACAAAGTGGTTATTTAACAACCGTCGATAACAGAGAGAGATGTGGTTGAGATGAAGGCAGAGATAGCCTCAGTGTAGTCTACCACCGGCTGCACCTGCACCGCCCATCAAAGCTCTCTTCCTCTCTATCGTGGAATGGCACCCACTGTTGGTAAACTTGGTGTGTACATTGTAAGCACAATGCTGAGTGTTCAAATTGTCTCTTAAAACATTATTGAGGCATATTTACATTACACATCCAATATAAAACTGGTAAACAAAGTCAATTGTGTGGTTCCATGCAGAACAACGTGTTTTACCTGTTACAGCCGTAAGAGTTGTTTGCGTATATACAGTATAACGGTTGGCGAGGCGGCGAGCGTCCCTGACCTGCAGTTTATGCGCAATGGTCTACTGCAGTCTACAGTCTACAGGTGCTTGTTACCGGTTAAATCTGCGCGCACGATTCGTAGATAACACAAGCCGCCGAGCCGCATCAAGGCAAAACTAATTGCAAGTTGGGAAATCGTCGCCCCTGAACTTTCACACAAACCTCTCGGCTACTGTCAGTGACGAGGACAGTAAATATCAGAATATATTTCATACTATCATGGAGAGAGACAACTACAGTTGTGACGAGGCGACGAAGCCAGAGCTAACAAGTCGAGCGTCGTTTACATCTTAGCGAGGAGAGGATAGAGAAGTTGAGAGGATTATACATAGAGCCGGGACTCGCTCGCCACTCCATATACGGCACCTTGTCCTGTTATCTTCCTGCTGCTAGCCGGTGGAAGCGGCCCGCATCTACGACCACTAGTTTAGATAAAATAAACATCAGGTGCGTCAAAACATCTGTCTATTCTTTATCATTCTACGTTGGATTGGCCTTCCGAAATGATAAAACGGTTTTCATGAACTGACCGATGGAAATTCTACTTTTAAAACATTACTACAGTGTAGTAGTTTAGGGAAAGAAATCTTCATTAACTCTTGTAACATCCATCTGAATTTCTATATCAAATTTGATGATAGATTCTCCAAGCGACATCCCCAAATATCACGCACACATAAGACAAACCGATCACGATAAACTTAATGCGAAACCTATAAGCAGCTGTGCGAAGCCCCCATCAAGTGTAAGTGATAGTGATAAATATAATGCGAACTTCGCA